GGAAGAGACTCTTATGGGCGAGGGGATGGATAGGGACGCGCGGGAGGGGATGGCGGGCTGGATGTATGGCGGAGAGGCGGTGGTGGGGGAGGAGAGGGATGGGGATGATGTGATGTGGCAGCAGCAGTGGCTAGAGGAAGAGGGGGAGGGGGGGTTGCAGTGGGGGGAGCAGGTGGTGTGCGAGGAGGGGGAGGAGGGGTGGGAGGGGACGCAGCAGTGGGCGGCAGAGTCCCTTGCAGGGGCAAACGAGCAAGAGGGAGCAGGAGAGGGGAAGACGGGGAGCATGGGACCTGGGAGTGGGGACATGGTTGGTGATGCGTGTGTGGGTGCAAGCCAAGAAGCTCTGCTGGCAGTGAGTTCGGAGCAGAATGGGGGAGAGCAGGAGGGGGCGGAGCATAGGGCAGAAGGAGAGCTAGCAAAAGGTGGTGAGGAGCAGTATGGCGCTCAATCCGAGGCTGCGGTTGCTGTACCTTCTGCTGCTCCTGCTGCTGCTGCCGCCGAACCTTCTGTTGCTGCTGCCGCTGCTGCCGATGCAAGTGTGGTTGAGGCTGCAACATTAACAGTGGGTGGGGTCGTGGATAGGAAGGAATCAGCAGCGGTGGCAGGAGTAGGTGCTGTGACAGACTGGGCAGCCCCGGTTGCTGCCCCTGCTGTGGAGGCCAAGGCGGCCGCATCACTGCCCGACAGGGAGGAGGAGCAAAAGGAGCAGAAGGAGCAGGAGGAGCAGGAGGAGCAGATGGAGGAGGGGGAGGAGGCAAAGGGCGAGGTTCACGCAGCAGCGGGTGGGGGGCCAGCAGATGCCCCTGACGCCAGCACAGGGGGCGCTGAGCAGGGCGGCGCAGCAGAGTGCAGGGAGGGGGCGATTGGCATGGGAGCGGAGGTGGTGGGTGCGAGTCAGAGTGGGAAGGAGGAGGTAGAGGTGGAGGTGGAGGAGGAGGAGAAACAGATGGTGGAGGTGCGGCGACGAGGGGAAGAGGTGGCGGGGGAGGAGGGGAGCAAAGGGGCGGGCGCAGGGGAGCAACAGGGGGAGATGGCAGCAGTGGGGCCGTTGCCAGACAATCCATTCGATTCCGCAACCAGCCCTGCCAAGCCCTCATGCAAACACCCACCAGAGGGAAAGCCCAATCCCTCCACTGAGCCCTGTGACCTGGCGAATGGCTCTCCATCTGCCTGCAAGAGTGGCAAGGGTTTCTCGGGAAAGTGTGCGGATCTGTCAGCGCCCTCCTTCCTGCCAGCCCTCGCCCCCTGCTCCACCACTGCTGCTGGCCATGCTAGCAGCAGCGGGATCAGCAGCACCAGCAGCAGCGGGTGTTGCATGAGTGGCATGAGCGGTGGTGGCATGGGTGGTGGTGGCAGGAGTGGCAGCGGCAGTCTGTCGCGAGTGTGTGGGCTGGGGCGAGGGGCGCGCAGGCAGGTGGCCGCCATTCTGGACGATTTCTGGGCGGCAATCTTCGACCTGCATGGCCATGCGGTGGCAGTGGAGGGGTGGGGGCAGGGCGTGGGGGAGGCGCAGGCGCAGGGTGTTTTTGGGGTGGCAGGGCAGGGCGGCACAGGGAGGGCAACAGGAGGTGCATCGCAGGGCGGCATGGGCTTGCCTGTGGACTGTTATGTGTCGAAGCAGGCTTCCCTGCCTGCTTTTCACGGCTTGCATCTGTTGTCAGCTAGTGCCAAGCCGTTCTCCCCGTCTTTCTCCCCCGCCTTCTCACCCTCCTCCGTGCCCAGCAGTAGCATCAGCAGCAGCATCAGCAGCATCAGCAGCACCAACACCATCAGCGCCAGCAGCAGTATGAACAGCAGCAGCATGGGTGGGGGCATGGCATCTCTGCTCTCATCCTCACTGCCATCGTCAGCAGCAGCAGCAGCAGCACGCGAGTACAGCACGCTCTCCCACCTGCCCACCCTGCACGAGCTCTCTCTGCTGCACCCCTCCTACCTCCTCCCCGCCCGCCGCTGCATCTCGCCTGACCCCCCCTCCTCCCTGCCGCCTCCCACCTATGTGGGTGCGGGCGTGGGTGCGGGCATGGGTGCAGGAATGAGTGCAGGCATGGGTGCGGGCATGGGCATGGAAGCTGGAATGGGCATGGGCCAGGGGGCGCAGAGCACAGCAGTGGCAGAGGGGATGGGTGGGGGAACGGAATGGGGCACAGGGGTTGCACTGCTGAGTGGGGTGGGTGGTGCAGGGCATGTGTGGCAGGTGGAGGGACCCAGTCGCTCCACGCCCAACCTGCGGGGCGACCTGCTGCTGGGGGGACTCAGGGCGCAAACCCCCTCGCTGCTCGGGCATGGCGGGCTGGCAGGGCATTGCGATGGCCTGCTCACTACTGGACGCATGAGTTCCTTTCAGGAGCAGCAGCAGCAGCAGCAGTTGCAGCAGCAGCAGGTGTATCAGCAGAAGGTGTATCAGCAGGAACGTGGAGTGGGGGCACTTGGGTTTGCAGTGGTGGAGGATGGTACTGATGGTGAGAGTGACGTGGCAGACGCTGCTGCCAGCCTGGCACAGCTGAGCCAGTTGCAGCATGAGTATGCGGAGTTTAGCAGTGCGGGTCGAGGTGGGACTGCTATGGGCGGTGCTGGTGGTGGTGCTGGTGGCGGTGCTGGTGGCGGCGCTGGTGGCGGTGCAGGGGGCGTCATGGGCAGTGCATGGGAGCAGCAGGTGGATGAGCTGGTGGGGACGTGGTCAAACCGCACTGCACCACTGCATGTGGGGCTCTGCGACGCTGCCTCTCCTGCTGCCTCTCCTGCTGCGCTCACAAATGGGAGAGTGGGGTCGCTGCAGCGAACAGGCAGTGGGGGCATGTGGGGGTATGGATCCCAGGCCGTGCGGGGCGCAGAAACAGCAAGCAACAGGGGTAGTGGAAAGTGGAGCACGATGCATGTGACGGGCATTCAGGGGCCTGCCATGCCCCCACATGACTTGCCAGACCTGGCAGAACAGTGGCTGGCGGCTTCTGCTGTCAGCAAAGGGAGGAAGGTCAGCAACCCGGGCTGGCAGCAGGCACAGCATCAGGCACAGCAGCAGGATCAGCAGCAGGGAAGGCAGCACGAGCGATCAGTTCCTCTCATGGGAGTAGCAGCAGCGGCAGAGGAGGCACGGGTGGAGGCGGTGCGGGTGTGCGTGCAGCGCCTACTGCGGGTGGACGGCAGCGACTGGCTCTTCCGCTTTGACACCGGCCCCGATGAGGACCTCATCGCCGCCCTCGCCTTCCGCGACCGCAAACTCGCCGCCTCCTCCGCGCTCTCTGCTCGCATCTCCCCGCCCTCTCTCGCGCACACAGCTACCCACCACGTGCATGCGCACAGTGGCGGCGGCAGGGACGGGGAGTGGGTGCTGCCTGCGGGAGTGTGGGGCTGTGGCACAGGGTGTGTGTGGAGCGGTGCGCTGGTGGTGTCGTTTGGAGTGTGGTGTGTGCACCGTGTGTTGGAGCTGTCTCAGCTGGAGAGTCGCCCAGAGCTGTGGGGCAAATACACCTACGTGCTCAACAGGCTGCAGGTCAGCCACCTCTCTTCCTCTTGCTCCTCCTCCTCCTCCTCCTCCTCCTCCTCCTCCTCCTCCTCCTCCTCCTCCTCCTCCTCCTCCTCCTCCTCCTCCTCCTCCCACAATGCGCATCCCTGCATGTTCTTCCAGCGTGCTGTGTCTAGCAGCATAATCTATCCTTTTATCATGTTGTTCTCATCCTCATCTATTTCATCTCTCTTTTGATTGCATTATTTCAGGGAGTTCTGGACCCTGCATTTTCCCGCCCGCGCCCAGTGCCGGTGCTGTGTGCCTGTTTTGGAGAGGCAGCGGGGCAGCCAGCGCTGGCAGCACAGCGCCTCTTCCAGGGGCTGCTGGCCGGCTCCCTCTGGGGCACGCAGATTCCCCTCGCCAGCCCCAACTGGCCCTTCCCCGGCCCGCCAGGTCACCGGGGGCCGGCATGTGCTGCTCTCTTTCTCGACCGCATTCGCGAGGTGGAGGCGGCGGTGGGGGGCCGCAAGGGCAGGACCGGCACGGTGGTGGGGGATGTGGCGTTTCCCAAGGGGAAGGAGAACCTCTCGTCAGTGCTGAAGCGGTACAAGCGGCGCCTAGGCTTTTTTGCCAATGCTTAGTTGCTGTTTTTATTTTTTCCCACGACCGGTGGGTAGTAGTGCAGGGCATTTTCCAGCCCACATTTTTTTGCCCAATGTGCGGGCTTATTAGTGACACTGGTCAGGCAGCTTTTTGGCTTGTTTTTCTCCTGTTTGTATTTGCCTTTTTACGGGATTTGATCCTTACTGTGGAAGGTAATTCGTCATTACTCTAAAACAGTTATCGTACCTCAGTCTTTCAAATTGCACGACCCATAATCGTAGGTTATATCGCGACGCCAACCGACACGGCAGCACGAGTCTTGTGTGGCGGACAAGCGCACTCACCTCCGCGACAATCCATGAGCCAAAGTTACGTCATCACCTCTTGTTACTCGTGTTGGCTCGCCTCATCCCCTTGGCTGCGACCGACGTGCGATGAAACCGCTTTCGCCAACCAAAGGCAACCTCTCCGTCGCCACGCGCACCACTATTCTCGACAGCCCACGAATCCTCGCTCGCCAAAGGTGATCGCACACGGATCGAGGTTGGATATTTCGGCCAATGCTGGTCGACTTGCGCATGGATCCCGTCGCACGCCAGCCCACTGACGACGCCTGTGTCACACCCACCCGCAACCTCCAAGGCCACATGGAAGTTGTCTCGAGTCATGCCCGTTTTGAAGCCTGATGAAATCCATGGCGGACGCACCCAGCTTCTGATCAGCGATTCCTGCCAGCCATTGCATTGGCCAGCCGACAGGAACGTCGCAGGCGGTAACGAAGGGCAGTTATCCGCACAGTTGTTCCCTAGTTTCGTTTCCCACTCACGACGTGGTAGTCATGGCAAATCGACCATGTCCATCAACAAGCAATACCATACTTCCCGCCAGAACATGCATCTCTCCCTTCACTCGCGAAGTCACCCTCATTTCAAGCTAGCCTCGCCGCGCAGAAATGGACAGCGTAGATCTCTCGAAATGCGTGTGCGAGGCGGGCGCGGTGGAGTGGATCCGCGACTGGTTTCAGGACTGCGTGTACTCGCGATGGGACCTGCTCTCCTTCCTGGTCGGCCTCGCCTCCATCGGCTGCTGGCTCGTCGCGCAGCTGCCGCAGTTCATTCAGAACATCCGAGTCGGGTCCGCCGACGCGCTCTCGCCCTGGTTCCTCTTCCAATGGCTCTCCGTACGCGCCGCTTTCGCCCCCCAACACATGCGCTTCGTGCCCTAACTTCCCGCGCGAAGGGCTTCCCACGAAAGTAGAATGTTCAACTCGAAGTGTCGATAGCTGCAGGATTGTCGTGAAGTTCCGGACATGTATCCGAGATGATGCAATGCTCCCATGGCCTGCTCGCCTCCCGCTTTAAGTTCACCTCCGTGTGCGCTGCGTCTCCGCGTGTGCGCGTGCGTGTGCGTGTGCTTGCGCGTGCGCGTGTACGTGTGCGTGTGCGCCTGTGTGCGCAGGGCGATCTGCTGAACCTGCTGGGCTGTCTGCTGTCGGGCAGCCAGCTCATCACCCAGACCTTCACGGCCATCTACTTCATCTTCGCCGACTGCTGCATCATCGCGCAGGTACCATTCGCGCGCGCGTCGCATAGCCATGTACCGCCCGCGCGCGCATGTCGTAATGCGACGCGAGGCTAAGATGCCCGCACCACGCAGACATTCACGGCCATCTACTTCATCTTCGCCGACTGCTGCATCATTGCGCAGGTACTCCCGCCCCCCCCCCCCCCCCCCGCGCACGTCGCATTGCCAGGTACCCCCCCCTCGCGCGCGTATGTATGTCCCAATGCGAGGCGAAGCTTAGATGTGCGCGCCGCGGACCCGTGCCTCACGCCGCGCATTTCCGCCTTCCTTCCCACCATCCCTTCTTTTTTCCCCACCTCCTCTTCCCCACCTTCTTCCACCCTGTTCCCCCCCTTCCCCTCCCCTCCCCCCCCCCCACACCCCTCCCCGCCGCAGTATGTGTACTACCAGCTGAAAAACCGCGACTCGATCGAGCTGGACGCGGACTGTATGTCGCGCGCGCCGTCGCAGCAGGACGGCTTCATCACCGCCGCCGCCTTCTCCTCGCCCTCCGCCGCCCTCCGCCGCCCGCTCCTGTCCGCCAGGCCCGCCGCGCCCGCAGACCACGCGGATGCCGCCACCAGCACTGAGGCGATCAGCAGAGCGCTGTCTGTATTGTCGCCGCCCAGGACGAAGCCACGGCGTGCTGTGGAGGAAATCCGCGCTTTAGAGAACGAGCTGCCTTATAGAGCGGTTGAGGCTGGCGGAGTGGCAGCGACAGCAGAGCATGAGAGTCACATGCACAGACCAAGGCAGGAGCCGCAGCATCAACCGCACCGGCACGAGCACCACAACTACCACCCGGTGTCGTTTTTAGCTGGCCGCTCAGGCGCTGTGCTCCTCGCCCACGCCTGGCAAGGCCCCCACCTCCCATCCGACCCCCGGCCCCCCTCCCTCCCACCCCCCCAAGGCGCAAACGCATCCAGAGAAGAAGCAGACGTAGCAGGAGAAGCAGACGTGGCAGGAAAAGCAGTGTGCCGGCGGCTCAGTGTTGGTGAGCGGAGAGAGCAAGGCGCAGGAGCGCGGGGGGATGGGCGAGGCAGGTTGTTACGGATAGCTGAGGAGGGGGAAGGGCGGGCGGACCTGTTCCCCGTGGCGTCAGACAATACAGGCGGAAGGGCGGACAGGGCAGGGGTGGCGGGAGCATGCAGCAGGAGACGTGCGACTGGAGACGAGGCCAGGGGAGCAGAGGGACGCAGGGGCGGGGGGCAGGCGGGGCGAGTGCAGTTCGAGGAGCAAGGGGGAATGGGCGGGGAGGGCGCGGGCGGCGAGGGGCGCAGGCGCAGGGCGTACAGCGGGCGGGAGGTGCGGCGGGTAGTCGAGCAGTATGGGCTGGAGCACGGCCCTCCGCTGCTGCACGCCCGCCTCACCATCCACCACCACCCCCATGCGCCTGCGCCCAGCCCTGCAGCCCTGATGGGGGAAGAGAAGGGGCAGGCGGGAGTGGGAGAGGGAGGGATGGGCGCGGGGCGGGCGGGGCATGGAGCAGCAGGAGCGGGTGGGGAGGGAGGCGGGCACGGGCGTGAGGGTGGGGCCCCGCGTGGAGAGGGGGGTTACCTGAAGCAGGAGGGGACAGCTGCTAAGGGAGCAGGTGCCTCGGCTGCTGTAGCAGGTGCAGCTGCCACCGTGCCTGGTGCCGTTGGGGGAGGGGCATCTGAGGGAGGTAGCGCGTCTGGTGGAGGGGCAGCAGGGCCCAGGCCGCAGAAGGCAGGGGCGCTGTCTCTGCTGCTGGGCTCGCTCATGCTGCTGGCGCTCGCCTCCTCTGCGCTCAGCCCCTCAGAGCAAGGAGATTCGCTCACAGCACAGCTCAGTGGTGGCGCTGGTCCGTGCAGGGGGGCAAGGTGCAGCATGGCATGGTGGGGGACAGGTGAGGTCGAGGCAGCGGCAGGAAGGAAGCTGCTGGCGGTGCAGGCGAGGGAGAGGCAGGCACAGTGGCATCAGTTGCGGGGGGAGCGGCATGCGTGGCAGCAGCAGGCGATGCTGGAGGTTGGGAGAGAGAGGTCTGGCAACAGCACGCTCTGCCTGCTGCATCCCCATCACCCCAACTGCCAGCCTGCTGCTGGTGCTGCTGCTGCTGTGCGTGCGGGTGGTGGCAGTGCAGTGAGTGATGGTGGCAGTTTTGCAGGCAGGGAGGCAGGTGTGGTGCTGCTGCCTCCCGTGCTTCCACTTGCTGGCAGACTGAGCAAGGAGCAGAAGGACGCGGGGGAGAGGGGCGGGAGGGCGAGGGGCAGGGAGGAGGGGGATGCGGAGATGGCAGCATGCAGGGCGGAGAGGAAGCGGCGGAGGAAGGAGCCCAGCAAGTTCATCCACCAGCTGGGTCTCATGCTCGGGTGTGTGCATCCCCCGTTGCATGACATCCGTCATCCATGGCATCTTGGCCACTCCAGCATATTCTCCACATACCTCTCCCCCAAACCTCTCGCAGACACCTTTCGTACACACCTCTCCCTTGCACCTCCCCCTCACACCTCTCCCTCACGCCTCTCCCTCACACCTCTCCCTCACACCTCTCCCACACACCTCTCCTTCACGCCTCTCCCTCCCACCTCTCCTTCACACCTCTCCCTCACACCTCTCCATCACACCCCTCTGTCTCTCCCTCACCAGGTGGGTGTCAGCGGGCTTCTACCTGGGCTCGCGGGTGTCGCAGATCTGGCAGAACGCGGAGCGCGGGTCAGCAGAGGGGCTGTCCATGGCCATGTTTCTCTGCGCCTTCTGTGGCAACCTCACCTACGGCACTGCCATTCTGCTGCGCGCCCCTTCTCTGTACGCTACTCTGCTGCACGCCGCTTCTCTTCTGCCCGAAACGCTAGTGCATGCAGAGGGACCTCTGGAATTGAAGCGTGATGCCCATGTGTGTGCGGTGTGCATGGCAGGGCGGCATTGAGTGGCAACCTGCCATGGCTGGTGGGCAGCATGGGGACTCTTTCCCTAGACATCACGATCTACCTGCAGGTGAGCCCAGCCTTGTTATCTTCACCTCACATGCCCTTCCACGAGAGAAAGTCTATGCTGCAGGAAGAATGACTTGTCATGATGTGGAACCTCACGCTCAATTGTACACGTTCTCACACTCTACTGCTCTGTCAATCACTCAACTCTGTCGCACACTTTATTGCACACAACTCTGTCTCACGCTCTTCCATATCTCGCACTACTCATCGCCCACTGTGCTGTAAACTCCAAGCTTCAAGCTCTCCTCCACCTTCCACATCCTGTCTGACCTCTCCTGTCCTTCTTTGCAGGCCCAGTTTCTGAGCTGCAAGAAGGAACACACATCTGTCGTTCGCCCCATCACTGTCTTATGACTAGTGCGCCCCCTCCTGCACTGCTTCTCACCATGGCGCGGTTCTCTACACACACACCTGATGTGAATCTAATCCGTCGTCATCCAAAAGCACTGTAAATTACACCCATTACCATTGGTCCTCGTCCTTATAAACCAGATTAGTAAACTAATCGTTAATTGTTGCGCTATATCATGGTAATATGTTAAGACAACGGTGATCAATGCTTTGTCAGAATACTGAACTAGAATGAATGAACTATGAATGAGTTGGGTACAAATACTGACCCTAATTGGGTTATACCCCTTATGGGCTACCCCATTACAGCCTACAGAATGTAAGCACTATAACATTTTGACATACCCCCATAGGCAAAGTGGGGGAGAACAAGTGGTCACAAGACCAGTCAAGAAAATCAAAGCAAGCTCAGGATGGATCACGAAGTCACCACACATTCTGAGCACAAGCAAATGGCCACAAGGCCAGTTCACATGCAGAGTTATATAAAAGAGAACAAATAGTACAGTGATCATACCCTAGCAAGTGTAAGCATGAAGGTATACATGTATATCACAGTACCGTAAGCCCCCGGATAGAAGCGCAACAGGCCCTCAGATATCAGGCTTTTTACCCTGATTTGACTGATTTTCAGTCTTTTATTTTGTACCAACACTGATTTTTCAGGCTTTTTGTTCTTTCAACACTGATTTTTCAGCCTTCTACGGTATTCTTAGAGAACACTGATTTTCCAGCCATTTTTTCTTAGCAACACTGATGGATCAGCGTTGTAACGAACCTCGACACTGAAAGCGAAAACTTTAAGTTGCTTGTAGATTTCCCGGGAAATAACAGGAATCCCAATTTCCCGCGGTGTCAGCACCGCGTGTCGGTGACTACATGACAAAAAAGCCCTCACAACACATTCACGCTAACATATGATGTGCTGGCGCGGTGTGTCACACCATTGGGCAGTTTCGGGGTTACCCATGAAGCTGCCCAACGGGGAGATGCTTTAGGGAATCGTGCTGGAAGATTGGCAGCCTTCCAGCACTGCAGCTTGCACATGCGTCGCGATGCGACTTCGTCGTGGTGGCAAGAAGTG